ACTTTCTACCAATTAATTAAGTAGGTAAAGTCACATAAAGTTTCGTTTGGACTAGTACTTACTTATAAGATGACAATATTGATATTAGTTAGTACAAATAGTTGTTGTAAAATTGACTATGACTTACTAAAAATATAGCGTCACAAGTTTACAACACATCTTTATAGTTTATTTTATACTTATACAAGCATCATTATAAAACGCAAAACCACATTCTTTTCGTAATATTTTGTACCTACATTAGTGATAAGAACAATTCTTTGAATACTCACTTGAATATTGATTAGAGGTTGTAGTCTGAGATGAAAAGGGTGTATCCGATAAATCACCTTGCGTTCTGGCAATACAAAGTCCTCGTATTCTACTTGGTCGAAGGAGCTACCGTTGAATGGACAATGGGGTCCAAAGATCCTGGTCGGTATCACACTTCTTACCACCGAAGCATCTACAGCCTCAATTACAGAAGCCACGCTCGTTGATGTTGTCTGGAATAACCAAGATACAATTAATCATTTCCAGTATTTTAAACACATGTTATCACGGATGTGTTACCATGTGACTTATTAACTTTATGCTATCAGTTAATGATATACCTAGGTATTCGTACATTAGTTGGTACCTTTAAGAACAGATATAAGCAATGCCTTTATGTAACTGTATTTACTTTAGATAAGTAAACAGACTTCTTGGAAGTATTGGGTTATCGAAATTTCCACAGTACCATGTTATTTAATTAAACATTGTATAATTATAGATAATTCAGATTCAGATAAAAATGTTTTGCCTGCCTTGGACTCGTGTGACCTAGTTTTATATTCCCCCTCATATTATCTTTGTTACGGTATTTAATTGTCCACAACAAAATTTATACAAATATTATTATGAATTTCTTATTGCGTAAGATGGATTTCGTTGCAGTTTCTTTTGCCATTTTCTTTAATAAGTTACATTTATCTACTGATTAATGTAACTTGTTCGTTAATTTGTGTTATGCATAGTTGGAAAACAGTTTTACTGAATTTCATAAATAACTATTACCGCAAGAAACAGTTCCGAGTAATCCAAATACTCATTGTTTATGTTCTGAAAGTCGGTCAGGTCTCGTGCTGCGTATACGAAGTAGACGTCAAAAAAGCTGGTCCTAAGGGAGTGCATAAGAACCGTGGCCCTTTCCAACTCAGTGCCTGAGGGTCGGTCACTTGGGCTGATGATGAGCATCATCGTGCTAGGTCCAGCGCTGACTTGCAACTCGGCCTCCTCCAAAGTCTTCTCGCGAGAGATTCTGATAGATCTTGATATGATGTTCGGGAGATTCAGACGATTAGGCCCTGCGAATTATTTTAACTTAATTATTCTGCGCATTTTGGATTAGGAAGCTTCAATAACGTGATATTTCGTGCGAGTGACAGCAAGGGTAAAGGCACTTAAAAAAACAAGCTCTAACGAATATTTTCTTTCATGGCCACATATTATTTACATACATGGGTCAGTATAATTGGCGAGGTAGTCGAAAACTGCTGTTAGATTGTTGCAAGGTGGCACTATCCACTCGCCGGTATTCCCATGAAGCAGCGCCAAGGAGCTGCGCTGCAGATTGATCTCCAAGGCTCCACCAAGCCACCTTAGAATGTTAAATTCGTATTTTTGAAATTGTTATTATTATGATATAAATTGTTATTATTAAGATATAATTATGTAACTTATAATGAATATTACAACATACTTTAAGGTTCCAAGTATGCACCTTTGCATGATTCAATAATGCTAAGAAATTGCTCGAACAGTTATCGAGTAATTTAGATAAGTAAAGGTGAAATCTAGAGTAGGTATATTCGTAATGTTTATTATATCCTGTTTTTTATTTATGAAGCATACGCGACACCTACTCGTATTTAGACTTACTTTAGTGTAATATCTACCAGATAAAGTACTAAGAATGTAATGCATTATGATTACGCTAGGTGGCGCAATTTCCTCAACATTAACTTTTTAATTTTAATTGAAAACAATTTATTAACTCACGACATAAACTGTTCGACATCATATTGTTTCCAGGCTCCATCCGTGGCCACCACCATATCGATGACCGGTACGCTGATGCTAGCATGGCAAGCCAAATGATTCTGACTTAGGACGTTCGCTAAAACAAAATTTAGATAAATCCTCGCATCTCTGGCTAATAACTTTTTAACCAGCTGACGACCTTCGCACGAGCTAGATTTAGTACCGTAATAATAACAACTATCTCATAGGCCTAGATTGTACATCACGAAAAAAGCAAACCATGTTGACCTTGGTGAGAAAAATATAGAATGTTGCCTGACTATTGGCATTTATATAGGTTTCTGTCACCCAAAGGCTGTTGTCTTCGTACCTAGTTAATAATAATCCTCTAAAAAGGACTCATAATTTGGGATGGCTTGATTTACTTACATTTTATCAAACCGATTAATAAAGCGATAGTGCTGCCACCATCACGTTTTATTGTTTTTTATAAACAACAAAATGTTCTTTTGTGCACTTTTGTAGAAATGAAAAAGACTATCCATGGAAATATACCTACTTTAGTATCATGAAAGTACTCCTGCAAGTATCTAACTACCTATCAGAATTGTCACCATAGTAATTCATGTGCCTATCTTTTACTGTTAGGCCTTTGACTCATTAAAAATACTTACGATTAAGATTTTAAGATACTAACGAACATAGCTGATGAAAGCTGCTACAGCTGCCTCAGTTATCCTGTCCATTTCGTCACCTGCCACATACACAGTGATCTGCCTTAAGGCCAGCACTCGTGCGAACCTGGAAGCCTCAGTCAGAAGCATTGGGCCCGTAAACAATTGGTTGAACAACGCTTGCCGATTGCACGCCTTCACGCTAGGGTCGAAAGACACGCCCTCGTGAGAGTAGTACATGTCCAGGATCTGTGACAGACGCAAGGTGCGCCTCTGTTCCACCCATTTCGGTATGAAATTTGCTAGAATCAGACCTGGAAAAGTAAATGATTTATTAGTTTTTCCCAAATTCCTCATAAGTCGTCGTTTACAGATTACTGATAATATTAATTTTATTTGAAGCGTTAATAAACGCCCAGTTGTCAGCAAAGGAAACTGGGTAGATCTTCCATAGAAACTCATGTTATTAAACAGATAGTACTAGCACAGTTAATATAATACTAGGTTGGGATCAAACGCATTTCCTATATTTTTATGGTGACCAAATCAAGAATTAAATGAATACCCACCATCGACACCTGCAAGCATTTCCGCGTCAGTAAAATGCCAATCCACATTCGAAGCATTCCTTGGAAGTAAATAAAAATCTCGAGGCAACAGAGTATCGTTCCATCTGTTGCTACTTCCAACACCAAGCGCGTGGGCCACCGATCCTACTCTTGGGCCCTGGTTAACTACAACTTCAGCTAGATCACCTAAAATAAATATCAATGTTCGTCACGAATATTGTATGAAATTATAGATAAAAAATCTTTTTGAAGTTCTCTTATCCCTCATACATCCTGCAAGTATGTATTGTACAACTCAGGGGCATTTGCTTACAGCACAGCCACATTCAGGACAAGTTACCTAATGCATGCAAATACCTAATGCCGAAGGTATTTACAAGGAAGGTATTTAGGTACAGGGCTATAAATTTTTGAAATTCGATAGGAATTTTAACAAATAAATCAACGACATACCAGCTAGTGTAGCAACCCACACGTTACTTATATCTGGTACTGCAGGCTGCTCCTCTGCATTAAAAGCCTCTATGTCCTCATACCACTCTTGCTTCGCTAACACCATGAGAGGCTCCGATATGCCCGCCTTGAATATGTCAGCGTTCAGAATATCCGACATTAGAACACGCTGGGGCTCTAACGACGCTGCAACTGCTGCTACCAGAATACCTGGAGCTATTGGTCCCCAGTCTGTTTGTATGACGCCTTCTTCAATCGGACATCTACTGTGGATCCTACAAATTTATTTTAATTTATAAAAACTAGGCTTTTCTATTAAATTAAGTAAGATAATGATTATTAAAAATAGAGTTACTGACCTACCAGAACTTTGAGTCGCCATATTTTGCCTCTGCTGGGCTGACAGTGGGCAAGCAATGTTCTCATCTCCTCTCTCCCACTGTCGCACAGATAAACTCATCATTCTATGCAAGAGACATTTTTCTGACAAGGACAGTATGTCATCCACTTCTAGAAGATTCTGGGTTGGCAGAAACAGGTCCATGAGAATCTGGTACCTATGGAACTGGAAGCCTCCAGCTCGAAATGGTAAAACAAATTCTGTTTCTACACCGCTCTGGGACTCTTCAACGCCATCTAGCCTGATACTGAAAAAATAATATGGGAGGTGAGTAAATAAAGAAACCATAAAAATAATACTGATAAAAATTATGACTTATTGATACCTGCGGAGTAACGAAGTACTAAATAGTTTAATATCAAGTCTAGAACTGAGTTCCAGTTTTCTCAGTAGGGAGATGTAGACGTCCAGACGTTTTGGTGCCATAAGAGGCGGTCCACCACCTCTGTAGCATTCTTGTAGATTAACCGGGATCCTTGGGACGATAGCACTCTTGCACACTATGCACAAAATACGAGTATTGATATTTTATAAATAAACTATAAAATAAATCCAAAAACGTTTTGCGTGATCTAAGCACGAAAACATTTCATAAGTACCGCTCTTTAAATTCGTCACATTATTAGAAGAAAAACTGAACAAGTGTTACTTACATGTAAAAAGTAATAGAGAAAACACGAAATTAAAAAATATGCTATTCATTTTATATGAAAAAGTTCATCATTAATTTAGGCCAAACTAAAACACTAGACACATTGTATTACGCTTGGCGTGTAGATAACAACTGAATACGGGAATGATAAGATAGTGAATCATTGAGAATACAATTTGCGACAATCTTCACACCCGATTTATGCACCTTGACTAAGGTGACTTATATTATGAATAAAAGTACAATAGTAAACAAAAATCGTTTATTTCATGACAACACATATGTGAAACCTTAATTTTGTCTTTAAAGCTATTCTAGATAAGAATTCTAGATAGGTGCTAGATAATTTTGTATGACGGTTTATCAAAATTATCATTCAACTACATCTTTGTTAAAAAGATTATATGTGTTTACCTAGATTAGAACTTGCCTCTAATGAAGTAGAAAAATATGTAAGTTGTAAAAAATAAAGTTTAAATACAGACTAATAAATTCTTTCATAAATGTAGTCTAAGCAATATTTTATAGCATCTTGGCCATTCACTACATTTACAAAAATTATATTACATTATAATAATTTGCCATTACAATCTGGAATTATGGAATGAATGAAATTATGTAACCAAACAAGATGTATAATTATGTAATACCAGTGTAATATTACATCTATATCTCAAAGCAGGAATTGAAACAACCAGTCAACCAGTAAGACTTCAACCAAACTTGCTAAATTACAATTCTATATTATATAACAGTCTTTGATGGTAATCTAAAATAATCTTATAATAAAATAAATACCATGATAACAATAGTGATGTTGATATTAGAAATATTAAAAGTTATTATTTAACAAACCTGCATCTACTTAATACATAATATTTATAATATACAATCTGGAATCAAGAACAATAATTATTGAAAGTTACCAATTAAAATTGAAGTTTATTTTATGACATTCAGAATACAAATAACTATTTATATGTATTGATAACATTAACATTTCATTATACATATTATTATCTAGTCTATTGTTCTTTACTATTATTACATTGTAATTATAAAATAAATAGTAGATAATTATAATCAATACACATTTGTTCTTTAGTAAATGCCAGAAATCAAGCTTAATTTGTAGATTTATTGTAAAACTAATTTTGCTGGTTTTCCATCAACTTGCCTAGAAGAGCCATGTTTGAGAGTAAATTCTCGCTTAATGTATGCAAATAGCAAATCAGTTATCAAGAATATCTGTGCTGTAGCAAAGGATAGAGTCACTCCGAAGAAGAAGTTGGCGTTGGCAGAGCCGGAGTATATCCAAAGATGCCACACTGTTGGTCCCAAGGCTGACGTGATAATGAACGCACATCCCACTATGAACTTTTGTTGCATAACTGAAACATGAAAAATACATTTGAGTCTCTCAAAGGAATATTAATTAATATAGTATTTTTGTAAATGGTCAAATAATACTACATACATGTAAAAAGATGCTTCCACATTGGCAACAGAGCCAAGTAAAATCCAACATCGCCGATACAGGGATAAGATCTGAATATAGTTGACAGTGCTATTAGCACAGTAGCCAAAAGTACAGGTTCCTTCTTAAACCGCAATGTGAGAGGAACCACATAGAGGGCCAATGCATTGATTTGAAATGCACAAACAAATAACAGCCTAAAGTGCTCGAACATCTCTGTGAAGAAGTACCAAAAGAGCCCAATGTTCGGTTTCAGGTCTGGCACTGTGAGTCTGAAACAATTAAATGATAAATTAATACTAGAAATATTTATCAAGCAAATAATGGAAAATATGAATTAAATCAGGTTATGCCAGAGAAAACACTATTCAATAATTTTAGATTACTTAACTACTTTATGTAATTTGGTAGTATGGCTATATTTTACTTACATGAATCCATATGTATTGTAGACATAGTCATAAGATCCATTCATTATGTATGCTGATATGTAGATGAGGAATCCCCAGCAGATAACAAATACCAACAGTGTTCTAATGTATGAACACTTGTTGCAGCCATTGTTTACATCCGCCAACAATATAGAAATGGGTACTATCAGAAGTACTGGGTACAAAGCTTGGTGTGTAGCCAGGGCAATAAACACACATGCCAACACTCGGTAACCACTTGAAGCGCCCCATAAAGATGTCGCCACCAACAAATTCTGTATTACAGTTGTAGTCATCGCAGCACAGTTCAATACTGAATATGGATTGAAAAGGTAGACAGACAGCACATACTCAGGCGCTTCATCCAACTGAGCATCATTTAGAAGCATTGTCTTTGAATCATCGGCCGTGTCGCTCAAATGTTTCTCTTGAGACATCTTGAATATTCTTATGAAAGATTTAGATGTTTTGTACAGAAGATATGCTGTTAGCAGATCCAATATTGTGAAGATGAGTGGCAATAAGAATGGACATCTCTTCATTAGAAAGTGGAAGAATATCAACATCAACGGCGACTCGTGAAACGCATCTCCAGCGTAGGGGTTGATACCTTGGTCGTATAGGAATACACCTTCAACTAATCTCTTCCAGGAGTTCAAAGGAGTGGCAATTTCAACTCTATTAGCTATTGTTTGCCAATAATCTAAGTGAATCAACCAGTACCTCACCAAACCGGCGACTAAGAATTTTATCATTTTCGCCATGTTTAGTTTTGCATTATTTCACGATTTTTATATGTGACAAATTGTAGTTTAATATTTTTCTCTTCTTCAACTCAAAATTCAGAAACGATTTACTTTGGATCAGTAAAACATTTTGTAGAATTCAATCATAGAGAAAAGTAATGAATTCAATCACCAAACCATAAAAATTATCACCACAACTGACACTGACAAATGAATGTCAAAATAAGTAAATGTCAAATACAGTGGGTCCGATTCTCACGGTCACAGTTAATTTTGCTTTAAACATATTTTAGGCGTTCGGAAGTCGGAACTCGGAAGTACCGATCTGTCTCATCTGTGGTGCCGAGAATATTGTGCACGCATTTTCCCCATCTGACTAAAACTGAAAAATTCTTAGGCCTAACCTTTGAAGGTATTTCGCAAAATAGTTTTTGCTACTTTTAATACCACCGCACACCAGTCCGCCGACTCTTGGAGTATGAGTATTCTTTGGCCGACTGGATTCAGCTCATTCAACACTAGTGCGAAAACATAAGGGTTCGAGCAAACTGCGAGCAATGAGTCGACTAATAAGGGAGAAGCTACACGGTGCGGTGAGGTCCGCATATAAAAATCAATAATATTGCATCCTCCTTTTTATAAGTCGGTTAAAAACAAAATTAAACTTTCATGTTAAATAAAAATAGTTTAATATCAATAAAAACACATACAAAAACTTTTATTTATCACAGACAAACTCATACATCATACTCATACCCTGCTTATCGCAGGTAGGTAGATAAGTTAATTATCTTTAAATAACCCCGCCATTTTTGAAATAAGTATAGAGTAGGTAACTTAAATAGTTTTTTACGACTTTAATGGGAATAACTGATCATATGGAACTTTCAGGAATATTTTGTTGGCGACTCGGATTCCAATCTTGTTCCAGTTGTCCTGGACGTATGGTAGCAACTCCCTGTAGAGCAGCCTCCAATTTTGATTCGTGAATCTATTTCCCAGTTCAGCTGTAAGCACAAAAAAAATGTAGGTGAGCAAACTTGAAACGATTCAATGCTAAGATGCGTAAAAACTTGTAGGATTGTAGAGTTGATCCTTTTTCTTGTAAAATAAACCATTCTTTTATTTTTCGTTTTTTTTTCTTTTGCGAAATGATCATCTTATACATTCGTTCCCAAAGTGGGGGGCGCGGGCTATCTGTGTACTTAAGTATAAAAAACCTGCGACCGCTGAGAGAATGCATTCGATACGACCAATAAATAATCTTGACTGGAATATTTTTTTGTAGGTTGAAATGTAATTTTTTGTATGGGGGCGCGTCTTAAATAATAGTCAGTCATACTCGTAGATTATACAAGTTCATATAGGTTACTATTAAAATAATGTCTAAAAGTTTTCGTCATGTGCCAGTGCACAGTTACCTACTTATGAAGGTACTTAAATTATATGGTGAGTGAGCATAAACAAAACAAACTTAAATTTTAAAAAGTACTTATTAATTGCATACCTAAGCTATAATACTTAATTTACTTCATACATACAAATAGGAGACACTAAGTATTTATGCATGATATGTATTTCCGTTTGATAAACTCAGTAGATAATGATTTTGGTCCTAAATAAATTGTTCATTAATTATATCTCACCTAACTGGATGTCAGGCCATCCACATGATCCACAGAATACCAAATATGATAAGTGTAAGGTAGTATCCTAGTTCCACGAGTACTTAGGTACATTTTATTTTGTTTTAAAGTGTAACTAAATCATCAATATTGATTGAAAATCGACAGGTATGTAATACATAATAATACCTAACCTAATAATGTTAGCGTTTAAAATATAAACTATACTATACTTACTCAATTCTTTACTATCAGGGTTTTCATTCGTCAGAAGTGACTTCATGTCTCCCACGTCAGGGCGCATGTAGAACGCATTGATACGTACAAAAGTGCCATTTTCAGTTTTTTCAGGAACACCGTCGAGTTTCCAAGTGTAAACTAAGTCCGCTGAAAGAATATATATGTTACGGCTAAAGATAGGTGTGAAAATAAACTTAAGATTAGCCGGCTAAACTTAAGTTTATCTTCGACGAGGTGTTAATGTTAGTTTCTTCTATCTTTAGCCGGCTAAACTTAAGTGTAACCGCAGACCCCTGGCTAAAAATGTAGAAGGAAATGGAAAAGGAAACAATGTAATAATGTTTACTATTTTGACACGAAAACTTTATTAAGAAATAATCACTTTCATTACACATACTTTTATGTACCTATGTAGGTATTCAAAATTACAATTATTACAATAACAAAATATTAATTACTTAAAACAATATCTACCTAATCATTAAAATAAAATAATAAGGAACCACTTGGTCATTACAGAATCTTCTGTAGGTATTTAAAATTACAAAATAAAACTGCGCGCGCGTTGTCTCCCCACCGCCCCCTCAAGCCCTCCGCCGGCCTGGCGCGCCCATCGAATACATTTTTAGCCGTTTCGTTTTGGCTAATGTGCACATTAGCCGGCTAAAGATGGAATATCACGACGCAAACTAACATGTTATCGAACTTTAGCTGCTTCTCGAAGACAAACTTAAGTTTAGCCGGCTAATCTTAAGTTTATGTTCACAACTATCTTTAGCCGTAACATATATATAGTAAATGATATAATTTTAATAACATAATTTAATTCATAAACTTACACGGCTCAATAATGTTTACTAAATAAAACACGAAGGATTTTTCTAAGGGTTTCGGTATAATGTAGGAATCAAAATAAGAACAAACAAAAATAGGTCTAGTTAAAAATATTTTTCTTTCTTTCTTTCTTTTTTCTAGTTATTATTTAGCGTAGCTATGTTGACGTCCCAGACAAATAACGCTAGCGCATAGCGGAGGGGCACGTCCCCAGAATGCCCACCCCAGTAGGCTACCGGTTTAAAGAGGATAGATGATAGTAGGTACTCATTCATGAGCTGTGATACCAATCGCACCCCCCTCCCCCCGTATCATGGCTGTTAAGGACCAGGCCCCCTGAAAAATGACCCTAGATACGCCAATGGACGTCAAGCTTAAAGATAAAAGTACTAACTCATATTTGTGCTGAATTGTCCGTTTGCACGTATCTGCAGCGAATTATAGCGGCCTTCTCCAATATACTGGCCCCGAATTTTAATTCTCGGAGTTGTTACATCCACCTCGAGATGAAATCGGTCTTCGTCAGCTTTGAGTCTGTAATTAAAATACATTGCAGTGAATACATAGCAATCGGCAAAAACCCACTGAAGAATCATATAAACACATTAAATTGAAACAATTATGTCTATAATTTCAGACCAAATGACACACTTCCTTGTTCTAGCAATTAGGCATAAGTAAATCTCTGTTTTTGCAAATCATTCAGTCATCTACAAAAAGTTGCATAGATTTTTTAAGCGGGTTGTTTAAGTTGTTTTGTTGTCCCATAGAGTAGGTAGTTAGATTCATCGTATTCTCAAGCTCTAATGATTTTTTTTTCTTCTAATATTGGAATGATAATTAAGTACCTACTTATTATTTTACTTCTTGGATTATTATTGGATACCTATTAGATACTCTTATACCTTCAGAGGGTTAGTTAATATAGCAAGTTTCAATATAAAATGAGTTACCTTGCATCGTGAATTTTCGAATTCTTCAGTCCCTCAACATAGATGTCTTTTGCTATTAGTTTAGCATAGATCTGAAAAAAGTCATTTGAATGGTTTATTCAAAAGCAGTTTGTGAGTAATATTATAAATAGAAGTCAAAAACCATGCTGGATGTAAGTAGGTACGTACTATAACACAGTAAGAACAAGTTTTATCTAATTTTAACTCTACATATTAAGACAAGGCTAGGAATATTTCCACGACATAATATTATTAAATATCATCTAAGAATATGGTCCATGCCAACATGCATCCGCGTCATGTTCAAATGCGTATAGTTAACTATGTAGAGATTACAAAATAACAAATTACAGTGTCTGAGCTACAACTATTAAACCCAACTTAAGAGAGCCCAAGACTACAATTTTCTTAGTCTAGATAAGAGCATAATATTATTATAATACCTGGTTATTTTTGTATTCCAACCGCAAATCCTTTTGGTTGTATGGGTCCACTGGTGGTACATCCAAGTCTGGGATTCCATCAGCTACAGAAGCAAGGCCGTCCTGGACTGCTTCTATCAAGCAATCGTTAACATCTTCAGAATCTCGATCGCATACCTTTAAATATTTCTCTGAAAATAGTAAAAGATATTTAGATATTTCTCTGAAAATAGTACAAGATAGTCGTAATTATAAAAATGAATCGCAAAATGTGTTGGTAAGCGCAACTCAACAACGCCAGGACCAATTTTACAAATTCTTTTAATTTTCATTAATGTTCGTTGAAGTCCAAGGATGAATTTCGATGAAATTCGAATAATTTCCGGGAAAACCGCGGTCGAAGCCGCGGGCGGAAAGTTATGGTGGCNAGTAGGTAATAAATGTAGAGCTAAGTCGCGATGATCTGGTACAGGTACCTAGATAATTTCTTCTTAAAATACTATTTCTTCTTAAAACAGCGTTATAATAGTATTGCCATAGAAACATCTAGGATAGAAAACGTTTTAGAGGAAACCTTGGCTCGGGAAATTACCACCAAAACCAGACGGTACGTAGAAATTAGTTGAGGATCGGACTGGGTGGCGTGCCTTGGAAACGCAGTCAACTCACGTAGTTCAAATCATTCAAGAGAAACCATTCAAGGTGCATGACAAAAAATGAAAAATAATAACTGACCTAGGTACAGTAGTGGATACGTAATTAGAAACACCCAGTACAATTTGGTGATTTGAAAGTTTAATACTTTTTTACTACAATTTCTGAATTCAAAATTCTTCTTTAAGTTAAAATACACTTACGTCTACTAGTTGAAACAAACATCAATAAGCAATATAAAAATATAATTATTAGAAACAAGTAGAATCTTAGTCTAGAAGTCTGGACGCAATAATACTTAGTTAATTTATTTTAACCAAGCGTGCGGCTTTTTGAAAACAAGTTAGGTACCTACTAGGTCACTACTTTTATATATTTTAACCATTCGTAGGAAATAACTGTAATATTAAATTCTATCATAAGTCCATCGACA